GATTTAGTGAAAAGGCCAGACTTCAGGGGTATCTGAGGCAGGCTTGAAACACAAGAGTCAGGGTGACTTCTGGGTAATACCAGATGGCTAGGCCTCAGACTGACGAAGCCTCTTGGATGAGGGGCGAAACGTTTCTTTTTAACAAAAAACGAAGTCCAGATGACATGATTCAACCTTTTTTGTTGTTATATACCTGGATGACTGAGAAAACAAACTTGGTATTGTACAATTATGTTCTTTGCAAGTAAAGACACGGCTGGTTCGCAGCATTTTAGTGGTGAAGATTCAAGTGTCTATATTGGCGCAGAATGAGCCAATTATCACTGATATCGACATGTCCCCAAACACCTTTATCGTCCTAAAATATCGGTGCCACCAATATATCAGTCGGGCTCTAATTCTTAACAATCTCAAAAACTTCAGGAAGGTGCCATTTCTGTAAATCACTAAGACAAGAACTGTAGAAAAGATGATGAGCAGCGGTGGATTTGTTTCGTTAATGAAGGGAGAAACATTTGTCTGTAGAAGACGGTGTCCAATTTAAAATAGTGTTGATCTGTCAGAACGTGCCACAGAGTAAAAAATATTCACCAGCAATTAACAGCTGGTCAATACATCAATTAGGCTCTATGGGTTTACTTTTCCTTTTAAAATGTCATTGTTGCTTAGCTTTAACACAGAACTGTTGTATGTTTATCGAGCCAGTGGATGTACAGGCTGCTCTGGTAATCCGTCTAAAGTATCTGTTGCAAACATCACCTGACATACGACTGAAATAGGGTTCTGATTGTCTGCCCAGCACAGAGAAGAAACCCCCAGCGTTGTAAAGATGGGGACCCACTCTCGCTGCTTTGTGTTAGATTATTTTGTCCAACAGAACAGTCATGTCTACATTAAGCCAGTCTCAGTCTTCTCAGTTTTATTTTATTACATTACCATAAATTAATACATTTTGAGCTGCTACCATTAAATTAAAATGGAAGTAATTAACAGCTTTGTAATTATTGTCTGTGTGGAGTGCGTGTCAAACATTAACAGTAGCACCATTTGTTTTTTTTTTTTACCAAGCGTATGTATAAAGCAGTTTGGTTTCAACCAGTTTGGAATTCGTACCAGTTTCAAACTCGAAATCGTCAACATCGATCAAATAAATGTAAATAGCAGACAGAGTTAAAAAAAAGTCATTACAAAGAAATGTTTTTTTTTTTTTTTGCATCTGTACCTTTTCAATCATTGAACGTGAGGTTTCAACAAACCCACACGCCAGTATTTCAGAAAATACTTAAAATATTCAGAGTTAGCATCACCTTTCACTCACCTGTGAGAGCTCGCTCGCATCTATTTGACCACTATTGTCTGCGTCAAAGCGTCTGAACATTAAATCAACCAGCTGCTGCTTGGCGGCCATGTTGTCCTTGTGAGTGCCATGGAAGGTTGCTGCCATGTATCGTTTGTCATGCAGATCCAAAATCTTGGTTTTCAGCCGAAGGTAGTCACTCAATCTGCAGTCATCACCTGTTGAAAAAGGAACAAAGGAACAGAAAGAGCAAAACCATTAGAAGTAGAAAAATGTATATGACACACAGTTAATGATCTTTGTTGCAAAAAGAGAAAGAAAATAAGTTGATTTTTTGGGTGTTTTAAGTGGTGTTAAGTTGTCTGAAGACACGTTTCACAGATACATGCACAATGACTGCAGATGTTCTGTAATAAGATTAAATATACATGCTATGAATAACACAAGATGTCTCAAACTGTTAATTATTGGTACCAAAAAAAAAAAAAAAAAAGTAAAGCTCTAACCTGAGAGTGACTGACTGAATCATAACAATTTCAAAATGAATATTTTCACACAAGAGCATAAACACCCACATTCACGCAGCCTTTCATTGCTTCCCGACTAAAAAACGTTCAGCCTGATTAACACAAAGAACGTGATGAACAAATCCATCACACAGGTGTCAAGAACAAACCCTACCAGCAACAGAAAACAATCATGTCTGCCATCAGAGGATCTATATCAAAGGAGTCAAATGCATAAAATGTTCAGCCGTGAAGTGAAGCGGCAGCCAAACAGAAAATTATGACTAGAATTCGAGGTTTACACGTGTCAGATCAATTTTGTTTCATCTGGAAGTGCATCTCCCATAATAAAAGATAAATTAGCTGTTGCTTACCAGCCAACAAGAAAAAAAAAAAAAAACACTGATATGATTTTCAATTCTTGGGAAAGAACGGTGACATCTTTGAAAGATTTTCCAACAACTATGAATAAATGTTGGCTACTCAGAGTCCTGTGTGAGACAAATGAACTTTGTTCAGGATGATCAAGCAAGAGGGAGATGGTGAGGATGCTAACGGTGTCTCCTCTCAGTAGTGTGGGCGTTCTGCTCTGTCGGCTCCTGCAGCCACAGCTAAACATCAGCAGCACATCATCGGCTTGATGAGCAACAGGAGCGTAAAAGGCTGCAGAGGACATCCAGTCCGTGCTGGAGCATTATCTGCCAATGGTAGTTGGTTCTGGCCTCTTGTGAGATTAACTAAGTATTAATCAAATTTATAACTCTTCGTGCTTTCAGTATAATCTCCAATGTTCTCATGTCCCTTGAATTTTTCTCGGTGGACCTCGAGCTCTCCTGTGCCTCCTCAGCTGCCTCCACACATTCCTTCCCTGCCTCCTGCCTGGAACCACTGGGTCACCCTTCCCCACAACTGACTCCTACCCCTGCCATAAGAAAGAGCAGCAGAAACAATATCACCGATGCTGGCAGGTCATTAACCCTTCTCCTTACTCTCCAGGGTTCCAGCTCCCTTCCTGGCACATTTGAAGACAATTATCATTTTGTAAATAAACACGGTAAAACTTATTGGAGGCTTGCTATCTGTTGTCTTCAGTCCTTATACCTGGGTATAGTGGCAGTTGTTACAAGTAGGACTGGATGCTCAGTGAGGGCTGATATGTAGCTGGGCAGAATCAGAGCAACCCCAGAAACTAATGACACATTATCAGTACAGGATTTCATTTTTGTTGTAGAAATTTATTCCAGCATCCCCTCAGTGAAACAACTTGAGCAATCAGTGAGCATTAAAGGATATGCTTGTTGCACCAACACTTACAATCACTGGGGTTTGAGAGGATGAAAGGTCTTAAACTTTACCTGCAAATTCAATGGGCTTTCATAGATGACAGTCTTTTTACTTTCATCTCAATCTTCAATGACTGTAGTGTCCAAGGTGTGTGAAATCATTAACTTGGCATTAAACTTCTGCTTTGACTGAACTGTACAGAAACAAACTGTTACTCATAATCTGAATTGATTGGGCATAATTTAAAGATTTTTTAAACGATTCTACAATAAAAACAACAGTATAAAATCAGTTCAACTACTACTACCAGAAGAAAATAAAGCAGACAAAGGTAAAGAAAAAAGCAATGTTGAGTGAAAAATACTGCAAACACAATTAAGACTACAGAAGTCCCTCGTTTATTGCGGGTGATCCGTACCCTGAAAATCCACAGATAAGTGGAAAAACAGCAAAGTAAGAATATTAGTATAAGCAGCGAGTAGTAGTTTATTTTAGTGAATATATATATATATATATATATATATATATATATATATATAAAATGTGTGTGTGTGCATGTTTTAAACGCTTAGCACACTCTTGCAATATTCTAAACAAAGTTTCTAAACACTCTGAAAGAGACAGAATGTCATAATTTCAGCTCCCTGCCTCCTCTGCTCTTTGCCACCTGCAAGTGCTCTTGGCCACGCCCACTTATCCACTCTGCACATAGATCAGCTGATCAGCTGCAGCAGGAAGTTTATCCTGCAGTATGGGCTGCACAAAGGTGCAGCAGGTGCTAAATAATTTAAAATAATTTATTGTTTATATAAATTTAATGCTAATTGTGTGGCTCATCCATCAATCAGCGGGGTGTCATGTCCAATCTTATTTTGAAAAACTACGATAACAATCCACACATTAGCAAGGGACTACTGTATTCTGTTTAGTAATTAAAATACTTTCAGAGTTATTAAAATGCCTGTTTTGTTGTAAACCAAGTCTTGGTCTTCAACTATAAAGGCTGTTAAAAATAAAAACAATCCCACTTGCTTTAGCCCTAAATGTTGTCCTAAACAAAAATGCTTTTTGATCATTAAAATATATATTTGAAACTCACAAAGTCTGGCATAAAGTAGTAAATATTAGAGGTGAGCAGAAAATTAGAAATGTCAAACTTTAATAAAAAAAAAAATAAGATGTGACCTCTGACTCCTTTAATGGTGCATTGACTGTTTAATGATTGTGGCTTGGGGTGGTTGAATATTTGAATACAAATGGTTTAAATACCTTGAAAATCAAATTGTGTTTTGCCCAAAAAAAAAGCCCATTCCTAGTAAACAAGAAGATGCTGTAGACCATTTCTCCTGTTTTTTAGCAGGTGGGGCTGTGAGTAACACACAGACTGAAGTGTTGACAGACTTTAGACTTTCATGAGTCAAAAACTTCCTGCAGCAATCAGGTTGTGAACAACACCAGTGGAGGCGGGTACGGTCTTGTGCTGCAGTCATAGATGGGAACAAGCCAAATGGGAGATGAGGGGAAAAAGCTAAATTTGTTTCAGCTGTAAAATAGGAGGTGAAGCAAGTAGAAAACTTGCCCAGGAACAGCACTGATTGCAGCATGCTGCATATCAGGGAACAGGGTCTGTTTTGACATGTGTCAGAGTGAGAAGCTGCCATGGTCACAAATGGCAAAATGAATAAAAGATAAATGGCTGCATGCATTTCATGGAGATATGAAGGTCAGTTACATCAATATGGTAGAAGCTAGCAAACTTATACACACATACATTTATTGTAGACGGTCTTGGGCTCATTTTAAATCTCAACCAATTTACAGTTTAATAGGTTTACTGCTTACACATGAAAATCATTTTGGCCAAAATATGACATTGATTTTTTTTTCTTCTCACATATTTTAGGTAAAAAAAAAAAAAGTAATGCAGAAAATAATGGCATTGCATGTATTCTTCACATGCATTTAATAATATTAAATCAATTAAATTCAGTTTATTTATACTGTATAGCACCAGGTCACAACAGAAGTAGTCTCAGGACACTGAACAGAAACATTCATATACAAAAATAATATTTTAACATAATTTATCTGAGGAGCAGCTTTGAGTTTAACTCCACCACAGAACTCTCATCTTGAGCAAGCATGAAGGTGACAGTGGAAAGGAAAAACTCCCTCATGAGGAAGAAACCTTTAGCAGAACCAGGTTCAGGACAAGCGGTCATCTGCTAAAACTGGCTGGCTTTGGTAGGAATAGATACACAATGGCAGGTCAAGAATCACATGTTAAGATAGAAATAGTATCAAATGAAAATTATTCAATTTGAACAATTAATTTACGGAAATGAGGTCAATTTGTCCTCTAGTAGTGTAAGTCTATATCAGCATAACAAGCCGACCCTAACTATAGGATTTATCAAAAAGGAAAGTCTTAATCCCAGTCTGAAAACTGGACAATGTGTCAGCCTCATGGACAGAAACTGGAAGTTGGTTCCACAAGAGAGGAGCCTGAGAACTGAAAGATCTTCCTCCCATTCTGCTGCTGGAAACTCTAGGAACCACAAGTAAACCTGCAGTCTGAGAGCAAAGTGCTCTGTTAGGAAAATATGAATCAATAAGATCTGAAATTTAAGATGGAGCTAGGTTGTTGAGTGCTTTGTAGGTTAGAAGTAAGATTTTGAATTATATTCTGGATTTGACAGGGGGCCAATGGAGAGAAGCTAAAACTGGAGAGATATGATCTCTCCCAGTAACTCCAGTTAAGACTCTGGCAGCAGCATTTTGGATCATATTGGATAATCTTACAGTTGAAAAAACTATCAAATCAGTTAATGGTATAAAATTATCAACATGACTTATGGTATTTTAAAAAATGCAAGTTACTCCACCCACCACTCTGGTTTGTATTGTTTTGTAGTTAAATAAGTTAATTTGCTTGACTTTTCTTGCTGCTTAACTCGTTTACCAGCAGAGCACCACCAACATGACATTGTTTCCTACAGTTAAACAATAAGACACATTTTTACAGCAAGAAAATTAATTGCAAGGGTTTGACCAGAAAGAACAAAGTGTTGCAAAAAGTTATCTTTGTGTGAATTTTCTATTTTTAGATTAAATGTTTTGTAATGACAGCAGTAAAGAACTGCTATAAGTGATCAACTCGATACTCTTTATAAACCCCAATAAGGGAATCCATTTATTTTTTATTTTTTTTTGGCAAAATGTTTTTTTTTATTTGTATTTACCTTTATGTATACAGGTAGTCTCATTGAGCCACGGGAAGTCATTTTCAAGAGAGACCTGTTTAGGAGCAGATGGGGGTTAAGGGCTTTGCTCAAGGTCCCAGAGTGGGGCGAATGAGGGTGGGAGCAGGTGTGGGTGCTTCACCTACCCCACCCTCATTTTTGATGTTGCCAGTACCGGGGCTTGAA